TCCTCAGGTCATGTGACCGGCTGCTCCTCAGGTCAAGTGACCGGCTGATCCTCAGGTCATGCGACCGGCTGATCCTCAGGTCATGTGTCAGGTCATGTGACCGGCTGATCCTCAGGTCATGTTGCAGTGGTGGGTACGGTAGTTACAGCCAGTTATGAATCTTAGTGCAGCATGATAGACGGCATCCAACATCTGCAGCATCCAACATCTGCAGCATCCAACATCTGCAGGGTTCTTGTAGGAGCGTTCATGTAAATAATGTCACCGTAATCAATGGAGGGAAGGAAAGTCACAGATACAAGGTGTTTCCTAACATTCAGAGTTAGACAGGATCTATTTCTGAAAAAGTGGTTTTATCAGCATTTAGGACAAGTTTGAGGTGGAACAAATCTGTCTGGATGATGTTAAATGCAGATTTCAAAAGTTGGAAAGGCTTTTCAACTGTTTTAGCTCGACAATAAACAACTGTATCATCAGCATAGAAATGTATGGATGCATCAGGGATGCTCTGACCTACATTATGCATGTAGATTTGTAAAGAGGGTGGGTCCTAAGACTGAGCCTTGTGGTACACCATTGTTGACTGTTAAATAACTGGAGGAAGTAACATTATATTGAACACATTGCCTCCGATCTGAAAGATAGTTAGAGAACCAACCAATGGTGTGTTCTGAGAAACCGATTTCTGAGAGTTTATGACACAAGATGTTCTGATCCACAGAGTCAGAATCTTTAGACAGGTCTAAGAAAAGTTCAGCACAATAATCCTTAGCATCCAGTGCTTCAACAACGTCATTAAGAACCTTCAGTGAAGCAGTGGTTGTGTTGTTTCCTGAAACCAGATACCAGTTGCACCGCCCCGGTGAAATGCAGCTAATTTGACCATTAAAGTGCATTTATTAAGTAAATGTTAGACTGATCCACACATTTAATATAATTTCGAACAAATAAATTTTTGTTCAAGTCCTCCTGAAGTCCTCCTGTGCGCGCTTACACGGCCGCCATTTGGCAGCTCTTCGATTTTTGGCACAACACCGGCCCACATTTCCGTGTTGTCAGCGGTGACGCATCATAGATGCTACATATACGGCGAAGCGACGCATTTATGGATTTTTCCACTTTATTAGACAAATCTGGACTGATGTGACTTATAGGGCAGTTCAACAAGTACACCGAAAAATATGGTAATAATAATAATAATAATAATAATAACAACAAAGTTCTTCCAAAACAAAACAAGAGGGGACATTTTAACAGAAAACAGTTCCTTTGAACTGTGAAGACGGTTTTAGTTTTAGCAGTGATTGAATGAGAACACCAGACTCATGGTCACATGTTCTTCTTGTTCTAGGGAAATGTCTGGACCGCTCCGACCTGCTTCACAAAGTCTTCATCTCCGACTGCGACATCAGTAAAAGCACTCAGAAGTGGGAGATGAACAACATCATCGCTGTATGAAGACTTTGTGAAGAAGAACTGCATCTTTACAGCGAGTTGAGTCTAAGCCACTCTGCTGTGGCTAAAAGCCAGGCCTTTATGGGACCCGAGTGGACCAGGTCCTGGACTCTGCAGGACCAGGACAGAGACCAGCTGGCTGATAGAGACTGAAGAACTGGACAAACTGAATTCTTTCATGGTGGTTGACTTTACTTTGTCTTTTTTATTTGTCTGTTTTCTGAGAATCCCAACAATCCTAAATGTTGTTTTCAAGCACTGATTCAGAAACTTTAATGCAAACTGATTGTTTTATTGACGTTTTTTAATTAAGTCGTTACAGAAGACGACTTCTGTTCTAATCACTGTCCGTACAAACTGGACCTTTGGTTCTCCTCTGGAAGGCACACTGTCTTCATGTTCACACTGGACAAGCAACCAAAGTTAGCAAATGAACAACACAATGAATAATCAGCACAGTTTAAATCTGAACATTTTTTGTTCCATTTAAATAAAACGGTCATCGAACAACTACCGGTAATTATTATCTTATTATTATCAGAAATATATTTATTTAATAACTGAAGGATTTCACCACCGGCAGCACTCGAACCTGAAACCTGAAGGCTCGCTCTAAAAGCAGTGAAAGAAATAACACACACACACACACACACACACACACACACACAGACAGTATTTATGGTTTTCAGTAGCAGATATTTTACTTGGTGGTTGTTTCTCCAAACGTTCCAAGATTAGTTTCCAGAGTTTCACATCTAAAGCTTTCATCAGTTAAACCAGAACTTAAAGTTTTAATTTTCCCTTGTTTGATTTTAGAGAAGTCTTCAGGACTTCCACACTGCCTTATCTCCAAAGATGATCGGGTTACTGTGACGTGCTAACATGCTAACATGCTAACAGCCTTTCCTCAACCAGAGTCTTGATGGGATGGGTAACTATAAACCAGAGTCTTGATGGGATGGGTAACTATAAACCAGAGTCATGATGGGATGGGTAACTATAAACCAGAGTCTTGATGGGATGGGTAACTATAAACCAGAGTCTTGATGGGATGGGTAACTATAAACCAGTCTTGATGGGTAACTATGGTTAATACTTGGTGGGCTGGAAGAAATGTCAGTCTGTGTTCAAAGAACAGATGTTTTGTTGCATCCTTCAGGATGTTTGCAGCTTTTTGTACAGTAAAAACTGTTATTTCTAAAGATGATCAACGTGCATTCAATTAAAAGCACTTAATGTTGTAAATATCTAAGTTATAGCTGTGATTAAATATGGGCTGGGCAGTCGGTGACTGGTGACATTAAAGTTTAGTTTTTTTCTACCTTTTCTGTCTTGTTGCCATTTATTTACATCACATAATTCCTGAGAGCATTACAATACATGTGGACAGGATCGTACCATTAGTTACATTACAAACCCTTACCTTCCTGATGCCTAACCATTTCCTACCCATGGCGTACCTGTTGTCTACTTTTATTTATGTTATCCGTTACGTACCTGGGGGCTCCGGTAGCTCGGGTCAGCGCCATGGCCTACTCCAGATGTTCCCGTTACCTGTTCTACATCTGCTGTCCATGTCCTACCTCACCTGATAAGTTTCTGCACCAAATTCATTCTCAACATTGGCACTGTATAGAAAAGGCATTTGTTCACACGTTATTAGTTGTTGTGTTTCAGTCGGGGTCTGAGCTTGGAGGCTGATCTCAGCTCATGGACGATCTTTACACGAAAATATTTTGGAAGCTTGTATGCTTCCAACTTCGTGCTAACATTTTGGGGAAGGCCCCTTCCTGTTCCACTGTGTCTGTACCAAGGTGCACAAAGTAAAGACATGGTTTGAGTTTGGTGTCCCACGCAGAGCCCCGACTTCAACCACATAGGACACCTTTACGATGAACTGGGACAGAGACCTCATTCAACACCAGTGCCAATAAAGCAGGTGTCTGATGGTCTTTGTGTAGCTTTAATTTGAAATAGATTTGCTATCTTGAACTGTTTAACCTGAGCTTCAGAAGGAACACAAAGTCTTAACACATGGACAGATCTTGAACCTTGCAGTTACTCAGGAGTACCTTGAGTCTGACTCTTCAGTTTAGTTGAATTGTAAATGGCCAGCTGTGTCTTCTGAGTCACTGATGGATGTTCTGCTACATTCTTCACAGAAAATTGGTTTGTTTCTCATAAAGGTTGGTACTTTCCATCTTAGCTGACGTTTGTGTCTTATTCTGTTTGTGGACACGTACTAGAAGTCATTGGTTGGAATGAATTTGTCTGTGCCCCTAAAGTCCAATCCACTGAAAACGGACCACATTCAACCTTTATTTCTACAGCTTCATCCCACTGAGCCTCAGGACTCATTTACAAGAGACTGTCAAGAGGTTTACAGTAAGCTAAGGACACAGTTTCTGATTCATGTTAAATAATCCTGGTAGAAAAATCCAACAGAATTAAGTCGGCTCCTCCAGATGGTTTCGTTTTTATTGAAATATTTTTGTCTTTCATCCAAAAGACTTCCTCAGTGCAAGGAGCTGCAACAAACTCAGTTTAAAGAGCACCGCTCATAGTGGGTCAACCAGTTTCATGGTGCTCAGGTGGATTCTGGAGTCCGCTCTCTCCCTCGTCGACAGTCACGTCAAACTGATTCAAAACAACAAAGTCCATGCTCAATAATCCAGGTATAAAATCCAACAATGACTTTGGTGTTTTGAACCAGTTGGTCATGACTGTCGAAGAGGGAGAGGGCGGGCAGCGGAGGAGAGGGTGTGCCCCAGAGACCATCTTGGCACCAACATAACTGTTTTCCCACTTTGGAGTAAGCTGTTGTTGGAGGAGCAGTTTTGTTTGGCGTTTCCTCAGAATGATGAAGTCTTCCAGACAGGGTGAAACGTCTCAGCATTGACATGCTTTCCACAAAAGATAAGATAGAACTTTATTGATCCTGCAGGAAATTATTGTGCGAGAGTTTCAGTACAAAGAAACGTACACAAGAATCACACAAGATATACAAAGTTACAGAGAATATAAAAAATAACAGAGAAAATAAAAATACCAGCAATTAAGTTCTAAACAGGTGCAGACGTGAAATGTTTTATTGTTTTCATGTGAAAACAAAGAGTTTATTTTGGTGCAGGATTAATTTATTGTGCAGAAAGGAGGAGGAGTTAACAGTTTGAGGGACTTCCTGTGTTGTTCTGTGGAGCACCTTGTGGTCTCGGTCTATGACTGAAGGTGCTGCAGTGAGTCCAGGGTGTCATGCGGGGGGTGTGACGTGTTGTTCAGGATCTGGAGCAGGTTCCTCAGACATCTCTGTCAGAGACTGCAGGTCCACTCCCAGAACTGAGCAGCTCTCTTCATGAGCTGATCGAGTCTGTTGACAGCAGCGTATGATGCTGGAGACCACCGAGTGGTGAAACATCTGCAGCATGGTCCTGCAGAGACC